TTGTACATCCCCTAATGACGTTTATAGACCAATAAAAGAGAGGCACAGAGGCTTTTCGGAGCTCTCGCATGCCATCTCACCTGAAGAAACATGTTGTCCGTGTGTTTCCTAACCTAAAGCGAGGTCCGTTGGTCTCATCCAATGTACATCACCTCATCCCGGAGAAAAGGGACAAGTGGGATCCCCAGCGATCGCCACAGGAAGTAGCAAACCCAGAGCTATTGCAAAGCATAACAGAGCAGGGGTTTTTTTGTACTTTCAAAAGTTTATTGGAATTATACAGCCATGTCCTTATTGCTCAGGGAATTAATTAGATCTTTTGATATTTTAAGAATGTTGCTATTAAAAAAACAAGACAAATAAAGAGCTTGTGTTAATGAAAATTTCAAAACCTGGTTTTGCTGTTATGTTGATTACAAAAAATTAAATCATTTATCTGGAGGACAAAAGGCAATTGGGTCCCTAATATCAAAGGTTTTACATTGCCCAAGGTAAACTGGCCACATTCTACAATAAATCCAACCTCCTGAAAAAGCAGGATGAAAAGACTAATGCATATTTACATCCAGCTCCTACAGATTCACATTCTAACCCTAAAGAGCAAAATGTGTCCTTAAGTAAATATTGAAAAATAATGACAAATGTCAAGACTTTTGTCCCCAAAGCCCATTGAAAACTAAATTAAGACACTTTCAAGTCAAGCTCAACTGCTTCTCTGGTTGAGGGTGAATGAGAACCCCGGTCTAGAGATATGCATGTCCATATGTACTCTGAAGCGCCATTTTTCCTTCAGCTCTGAAGCACTGGAATAATGGATAAATACAGATTGTTTTCTTGTCAAAATTATAGCTGGCCTTTTCCTTTTTCCAAGATATTTTTCTTCTATGTCCATGTCCAGCCTACAGTCCTAGAACTTTATCATTGTCTCTAACATAAATACTAATTACATTTGGTGCTGCTTAATGTTTTTCAGCATCAGCCAGAATTGGTAAATGCTCTCATTACCACAATCTGTTGTGGTAATGAGAGCTAAAAGACTTTCAAAAAATCATCTGAATTATGCTTGAAGGCTGCTCCCTTCTGATGCAAGTATCTACTGTATACCTTATTGTGAAGGTGGAGGTTTGTTATCTGAGCTTGTGGGTTGGTTTCCAAACATTTCGTTACCAGGCTAGGTAACATCTTCAGTCTTTCTCTGTAATGGCTACCCCCAAAAAATTGTATTCCAACACACTGCTCCCAAACCACAATGCACCACACAGCCAACTACCACGCAAAAACTAACCCCTGAAGATGTTACCTAACCTCAGTGGTGGGATTCAGCTGGTTTGCACCAGTTTGGTAGAACCGGTAGCTAATTTTTTGTTAACTTCAGTGAACCGGCTGAAGCCCTACCCTTTTTTGCAAGGCCCCGAACGGACTGCGGAAAGTGCATGGACTCCACTTCCAGAACTCTGTTCTGAGCTGGGGAGGCCTCCCAGGCCCAGAAAGGCCCACTGGAAGTGCATGGATGCCACTTCTGGAAGACCATTCTGGGCCTCGGAGGCCCAGGCCCAGAACAGATTTCTGGAAGTGGCGTGCACGCAGATAACTGGTTGTTCAGGTATTTTAATCCCACCACTGCCTAGCCTGGTAACAAAACATTCAGAAACCAAACTATAAGCTTGATGAATGAACATTCATTTTCATCCTACACCCGAGCTACATATATTTGCCACTATCGCATACCTTACTGTATTATAATACTCTAAAGGCAAAGGGTTCAGTTGTTGAATGTTATGTCACCCTTTAAAAAACCCCTGAGCAAATAAAAATATCAAAAGTGTAATTCTTACACTATGCTATAATGGCACATACAGGGAGTTGCAATAAATGGAGTACTAAGTGCTCAGCTTATGTGTGCATATATTCATGGAGTCTAAATCAGTACAATTCAGTATGAGACTCACACTATAAGTACACTATTGGTGTATTTTATTATCTGGCAAGTGTGGGAATTATAACAAAGCACATTTGAATGCATTAGGTTGGAAAATGCCAGTATAAGGTATAAGGTTTATAACATACCCAATCAATATTTTGTTACTGAAGAATCTGTATAATGTCAAATATAGAGAAAAACCTAAGGACTATAGGACAAGAGTACAAAGCCAATGGTCTTCCTCATCACAACTCTCATCAGGATTCATTCTCATGGCCAACAACTATTCATAATGGAAAATGCCGCCCAGTGTTAATGGCCTGAGGTACTATATCCTTTTATAGAACATTTTTGAAGGGTATGACTACATTGAAGCCCCTATCTTGAGAAACATCCTGCAACAAGAAATCAAGAGCACTGAGAAATGCCTAAGAACTAAAGTCATAAGCAATCAAGTTAGTAATACAAAAATCTTTGGATTCTGCCATTTAATAATTTTGATTTTGTTAAAAATCCCCCAATACAGTAGACATGCAGAGGACTTTGAAATAAGGCAAAACTTGGTTTCACAGTTTGGTTTCCGTCCCATTAGGACATCATCTTTTTCTTGCACTCCACTGAGCAGAAAACCATTCCTTCTACTGGCATGAACTTCTGGCCAATCAGACACTTGCTGCAACAGGAGCACAGAAAGCACTCTGTGGTAGCATGCCAGTTGAAGTTGTTGTAACTTACACGTTGAACTTCAGGGTCAATAGCATTGTGGCAGCCTTGGCAAACCTGGGGAGTAAAGGAAATCAACATTCATTTCTTTCAAAGTTTGGAAGGTAATGAAGATCAGAATATTCATAACTGACTGGTTGAATTTAGTCAACCTTTCTAGATCTATGCCACAAAATGCCAGTGATCCTATTACTTGCAGTACACTTAAATGCATGTGCATTTTTAGCATATTGGTTCTTCCCCCTTGCAACGATACCCCTCATACCACCTTAAATCCATTTTAGGAGTCTTATTCTATATGAGAATAATCTAGTTCACACCTAACTTTAATGCAGGATTTGAAAGTTATGGGTGATCATACAATCTGTAGTATTTTAATTCAAAGAAAGTTAAACCACAATGGATGGCTTCTTAGCTAGGATGGAAGATCAGATGTGGAGTGCATAATTTTTAATCAGCATTATTTAGAAAAAAATAATAAGAATAATGGATACTGCACTGATCACTCCTGTAATGATCCATTATGAGAATTCTGTGTTCCTCATTGCCCTTTTAGATACTTCAGAAGCTGATTCTATCAGCTATTGCATTCTGCTGGGTCACTTGGAAGGGTTGGTAATGGGGAGAATGTCTTATAATGTTGCTCCTTCCTTCCTAACTCCAGTCATTGTTTGTTGGGAATGAGGATCAAGACTCTACGCATCCCCATATGAGCTCCCAGGACTCAGCCCTTTCCTCATTTTGTTCAACCTCTACTGTACATGATACATGGCAATCCTAGGTGAAAGAACAGATGCCTGGAGGCTTTTGAGAGCCTGCATAGGTAATATCAGCTTAGGATAGCTGATAGATAGAGTACCTATTAATTCAGAGGCTGGCTGCTTCAGGATGCTCCCTCTGAAAGGACAGCTTTGCATTAGCCTGGATTAATGGCTATTGCATGAAGAACAGGCCATGGCTAAAAAGTCCTTTGCCCAATTTCAGTGGATGTACCAGTTTCATTCTTTTCTGGAATAGATGAGTGCTTGTCATGACACTCATATCCTTGTTAAAATTTGATTCAAATACTGCAATGTATGTTTGAAGACTCTCTGGTTGTAGAATGCAGCTGCTCTTTTGTCAATAAGCCAAACCTATTTCTGCCACATTAATCTGTTACTACTGTGTAGGAGTTGCACTGACAGCCAATTCAAGATGCTGGATATAATATTTAAAGCCCTTTATAGCTTAGGACCCAATTATCTTTGAGACTACAGTATTCACTGTAGAACTTGCCTACAAAGTATGAAGACAAAGAAGGTATGCCATAAATTTTCAGCAAGAACAGGAGATGAAAATGGTCCTTTCCCTGAAGATTTCATTTTTTGAGGAATAAAATAATTGTGAGATTAGAATGGTTTCTTCCCTTTTCAAATTTTCACTAGTCTATATTTCCATAGTCTATATTAATTTTTATCTCTTTCCCTCCAATTTATTTTATAGTACAAGAATTTTGTAAGCCAACAATAGACATAGCTAAGAATTCTATGCAGGCAGCAGAGGACTGGGCTGTTTCTCTATACACATGATACACCCTTTTCTAGCCCTGCATATACAGTGTTATACAGTGTTTAGTTTGTGCTTTGTTTGGGATTCATTCATTGCTGTGGCTTTTAAGATGTTGCAGCATAGCTGACTCAAAGCAGTTCACCAAAGTCAAAATACAATCCACAAAACTGTAACATAAAAATAAATATAATAATTGTATACTCATCAGGATTAAATAGGAGACTAAAAAGAAAAAATCTGACGTCTCCCTGAAAATTCAATGTTCAAACACTTGCAATTCATCAATATGTATCTATAACATCATATATTCTTGTGATCATCCATCCTTCAAAGCTGAACATTTATGTGCTAGACATTATTATTTTCTGATCTTCCTGTTTCTTTCACATGCTCACTTGTTCTTTCTGTAACATTTAAAGCAGTTCTTAATGTAGCAATAGCTTAATTTGTCTCACTGAGATAAATTCTATTCAAGATTACATTGTATATAGAGCAGTTTTTTGCTTATGGAAATAACTGCTTTGCTCAGTTCTTCAAAGAAACTTTTGCTTGTGCAAACTGACATGCCTATTCTATAGTTGCATATGGACCTATGAGTTCCTTAATATAAAATCTGAGCAGGTACAGTTGAGTCATAGTGGATAATACCTAACCACAAGATGGAATATTTGGCAAGATTTAAAACATTTAAAATTATTGTAGCTGACAAAAAATATAAACTGAATATTAAGATACAATTCTAATATTTTGTGGGATTATCTAGATGAAAATATCACAAAATGCAATAAAACATATTTCTCAGTAGATCACAACACTTAAATGAACAATCAACAATCCATTCTTGTCAGAGCTATCACAACAAAGTGACCCTGAATTCAATAGTGTTTACTTCTAAGTAACTAAGTGGGAATAAGAACTTCATCTTCAAGGTTCTCTGATGCTTAGCTATATATATTCAATTTTACCTTTTGGAATAATAAATTACCGTATTTTTCGCTCTATAAGACGCACTTTCCCCCCAAAAAAGATGGGGGAAAATGTCTGTGCGTCTTATGGAGCGAATGCCGCCTCCCACCGCGCTGCTCCGCGTCCTGCGCCTCCGTGTTTCAAGCCTCTGTGGCACAGAACTGCTGGTGTTATGCTTGGGCGGAAGACGTTTTCTTTTACAGATGGGGCGGGTGGGCCTGACATTCGTGCGCAGGCAGGACCCCGCCCGCCGAGCCACCGCTTCCCCATTGCCCTCCACGCCAGCCGTCTCCGTCTCCAGACCTCCCAGCTGACGGGCGCAGGTCCGGGGCTCGCCAGCTGATGGGCGCAGGAGGTAGGCGCTGCTGCGGCCTCCCAACCGTGCCGCCGCGACCTCCCAACCGCTTGCTTCTTCGGCTGGAGCGACTGCAAGGGCTTGCATGGTCCCCAAGGGCCGCTGACGCGCTCCCCGCCGCCGGCGACCATGCAAGCCCTTGCATGGTCGGGTGGGCCTGACATTCACGTGCAGGATTCGCGCGCGCCTACCTCCTGCGCCTGCCGAGCCACCGCTTACCCATCGCCCTCCACACCAGCCGTCTCCATCTCCAGACCTCCCAGCTGATGAGCGCAGGTCCGGGGCTCGCCAGCTGACGGGCACAGGAGGTAGGCGCCGCAGCGGCCTCCAAACTGCTCCAGCCGAAGAAGCAAGTGGCTGGGACGCCGCGGCGGCGCGGTTGGGAGGCCGCGGCAGCGCCTACCTCCTGCACCCGTCAGCTGGCGAGCCCAGGACCTGCGCCCGTCAGCTGGGGCGATGGGGAAGCGGTGGCTCGGCGGGCGCAGGAGGTAGGCGCACGCGAATCCTGCGCGTGAATGTCAGGCCCACCCGACCATGCAAGGGCTTGCATGGTCGCCGGCGGCGGGGAGCCCGTCAGCGGCCCTTGGGGACCATGCAAGCCCTTGCAGTCGCTGCAGCCGAAGAAGCAAGCGGCTGGGAGGCCACGGCAGCACGGTTGGGAGGCCGCGGCGGCGCCTACCTCCTGCGCCCGTCAGCTGGCGAGCCCCGGACCTGCGCCCATAAGCTGAGAGGTCTGGAGATGGAGACGGCTGGCGTGGAGGGCGATGGGGAAGTGGTGGCTCGGCAGGCGCAGGAGGTAGGCGCGCGCGAATCCTGCACGTGAATGTCAGGCCCACCCGACCATGCAAGGGCTTGCATGGTCGCCGGCGGCGGGGAGCGCGTCAGCGGCCCTTGGGGACCATGCAAGCCCTTGCAGTCACTCCAGCCGAAGAAGCAAGCGGCTGGGAGGCCGCGGCAGTGCGGTTGGGAGGCCGCGGCGGCGCCTACCTACTGCGCCCGTCAGCTGGCGAGCCCCGGACCTGCGCCCATAAGCTGGGAGGTCTGGAGATGGAGACGGCTGGCGTGGAGGGCGATGGGGAAGCGGTGGCTCGGCGGGCGGGGTCCTGCCTGCGCGCGAATGTCAGGCCCACCCGCCCCATCTGTAAAAGAAAACGTCTTCCGCCCAAGCATAACCTTTAAGGATTTTAAGGATCTTTGAGAGGGAGAGAGAAATAGAGGGAGAGAAAGAGGGACAGAGAAATAGTATAGTACCGGTATGTGCGTCTTATGGTCAGGTGCGTCTTATAGAGCGAAAAATACGGTACATTATGATGATCACATTTACACTATAAGAACAGATCCGAATTGCTCAGAATTCTGGTTTATCATTTACAAATGCAGATTAACCATCTCCCTTTTCTCATTCACCAACAGGAGCAGCTAAAGAGAAAGAATCAGTGTTAAACTATATTTTCAATCTCTGAGAATAAAGGAAGTGAAAAACCAGGTATCTTGTATTACTTCTGCTTCACAAGCAGATACAATATTTTAGACCAGGGGTCTTCAAACCTGGCCCTTTTATGACTTGTGGACTTCAACTTCCAAAATTCCTCAGCCAGCGTACCTGGCTGAGGAATTCTGGGAGTTGAAGTCCACAAATCATAAAAGGGACAAGTTTGAAGACCTCTGTTTTAGACAATAAGACAATTCTTTATTCACCTAATATACTACCATACCTAACATTTCTGGGAGAGGACCATAGGGCATGCAATAATGATGCAAAGTGAGCAACAGTAAGTTAAGAGCATGGAATTTTCTGATTTTCTTGGCTTGTGGCTGGAGATTTGGTTTCCCACCCTATACTAATTTCACTTGAAGGATTATATATATACTACAATTTTCTCTCATTTCCTATCTGGAAAAACTATGTTGCTGATTTTCAGGAACTGTGTTCAGAAAGAGTTTTAGTAGTCACGCAAGACCATTGCAGTTCAACTTGTCTACCCTCCTCTGCATTTTTGTAGTATTTATTTATAGCCACTTGCACAGATGCTCCCATATAGAACACAGGAAGTTCTCTTGATTTACATGCCATCTTTCCTCCAGGGGCTAATGGGGTCTTACATGGGGGTCTTCCTTCATTTTTATTATTGTAATGGCAAGTCTGTGAGAGTAGGCTGGACTAAGAAAATAAATGCCCCAAAGTGTTTTCATAGCTGAAGGCCACCTTAGGATTCAATCTTCCTGATCCTAGACCAGTCCTTAACTACTATGGAACAACTCATACTGTGTCAGACCAGTGGTCCAAAATCATCAATATTTGCGAATTAGCGGCTCTTAGGGATTTCAGGCAGGAGTTTTTCCAACTCTACCTAGAAATTGAACTTGGGACTGCCCAAGTTGCAAAACACATGCCTTACTACTGAACCATACTCCTCCTGATTTCAAAGTTGTACTCAAACCACCATACAAGGACAGCTTGAAATTAATAATCATACTGCTGATGTTAGAGCACGTACTCCATTCTATAATGTTCAATCTTGTATGCTGCAGAAGTAAGTCTTGTTTTTGACACCATGCCAGCCCAAGGGTGCTTTTTTCACAAAGCAACTGGACTTTCTTGTTTTTCTTTGAAGATGTTTCACTTCTCATTCAAGAAGCTTCTTCAGTTCTTGGATGAGAAGCAAAATGTCTTTAAGGAAAACAAAGAAAGTTCAGTTGCCTCGTGAAAAAGCACCTTTGGGATAACTATGACTTGGATGACAGAGAATCTCCATTGACACACCATGCCAGCATTTCTACTGAATTCCTACCTAACTTAGAATGATGATGTTTGGATGTCATTAGGGAAGGTCCTATAAGCTGAACTGAAATATGAACTTATCTAACAGCTTCATATAGAGGTTGAATAGGAAGGAATTGAAATACGTTAAAAGAATGCCTCTGATTCTCAAAACTTGCAGATACTGACTCTCAACAGTTGCAGGCAGTCTTGGAGGCAAACATGAGTGACAGTAGTCAAGGCTATCAAGAAATGTAAAAAGACCAGAAGGAGTACCCTCCTATATCAAACATCTGATATAGACCAACCATTAGGGTGATCAGTGCAATTTCTGCTCATGCCCAGAATTCCCATTCTGAATCCTGAATGAAAAGGGTCCTGATAACCTTTACAATCACCATCACTTTCTCAAAAATCTAAAAAGGAAGATTGGGAATCAGCTAGCAGTTGTTACATACTGTATTACTGCATTATCTTATTTATAGTACGCCATAAAGATTTACAATGTGTAAGATTGTATTGTCTCTTATTTTTCTCCTGGAGAATGGTCTTTCAAGGAACTATTCATGAAACAAGGTTTGTGAAAGTTCACTTAAATATGTAACTTTACACAGTAGTTATATATTCCAGGCAAAGCTAGATTTTCTTACCACAGCATGATTCTTCACATAACAGGGTTTGCAGATGGGCTTTTCATTAACCATGACATAGATTTCTCCAGCCAAGACACAGTCGCAATCAAAGCAGCAGAAATGCTTCAGATGCCAGTTTTGACCTTCAGCTTGTGTATACTCATTGTTGAAAATAAGCTAGAGGAAAGACAGTTACCAGGTTCACATTAATATACTTGCACAATTGTTTTCTTCTACCACAGCACATGAACTAAGACATGCTTCCTGCATGTCGTGGTGTGGTATTAGTTTGTTCTATTTAATAGACAGGATTTTTAAATAAAACTTTTTAGGGTCCCTTTTAAAAAAATGAAAATGAACAACAGCCATCCTCCTCATTTCAATTTCAGTTAACAACAAATTATTTTTATAGAGCAGTAGAAAACTGTAGCTCTGGTTAATGCTAAAGATTTCTGGAAATCATCATGTGTCATTTGAATTGCCATGTGCAACTGATGCATTGAATTGATCTTACAGAATGTAATTCTCACTGAATGATACTAGGATAATTAATTTATCAGCCATACCATCTGTATGGCAAAACAGTGTGTAACAGAAGAGAGAGGCACATATCAGTCTGAAGTGAAGAACACCTGGACTAAGTGTTATAACTAGGACAAAGTTTATTTAAGAGTTTTCTGATTTACAGAGTAGTTCTCAATTAAAAATAGTATTATACTGAGATAAGCTTAGAAAAGAAATCCAGGGCCTTTTAAGGCTACTATTTATAATGAGCGCATTGTAGTTGTGGAATTTATCTATGAAGCCTAATACGTCTAAATAAACAGTCTTACTTTTATTTTGGGTAAGCTGATAAGAATTCATAGTTAACTTTATAAAATTGGTTTAAACCATTATCCATTGGTTCGGTTTAAGTAAGCACAAAGGAATGCACATTAGGGCAAAAACTATAACTTTACACTTAGAACCAATAGGAAAAATATTCTTGGGATATTTCAAGAAAAATGTCAACTCAGAATACAGCAATCTGGGGAAAAATATAATTCCATGCTAGTATCCTTTGGAAAAGCAGGCAAAAATAAAAATGAGAATGTTGTAATGACAATAAAGAAAGTTATTACATATTTGCATCTGAAATACCATGCAATTTCTGGTCCCCACATTTTTTTTAAAAAGGACATATTAGAAATGGGAAAAAATGCAAAAGAGGACAATCAACACCGTTGGGGTTTTAACACCTTCCTATGAGAAATGGATAGAATATCTGGGATTCTTTAGGCTGACTGAACAGAACCTAATTGAGATGCATAAAATAATGTAAAGTACAGAGAAGGTACTTCTTTTCAAGCTCCAGGACTAGGGTTGTTCAATTAAGCTGAATGAAAAGTTTAGATAAAGTATTTTTCACAAAGTGCATAATTAACCGGTGGAATTCATTACCAGAGGACATGGTAATGGCCATTAATTTGGATGTCTTTCAAAATGGAGGGGATAAATTCATGGAGGATAGATATATGAAGGGCTTTATCTGCTTTTTAACGCCACTCACAATGGAACAACTGAGGCAGTGTCCTCTGGCTACTGTGAGAAGAAACATGCTCTAATAAAATGCATCTTGGCCTGATCCATGAGGACTGTTCTATCAAGAATGTTCCTAAAGCCTCTCCTGCGCAAAATAGTTCATACCCCATTATCCAAAATTCAGGTGAATCCAAACTTCTGTATGTTGGCTTCTATGCCTTATCTTCTACTTTATTCAGTACTGGCTGGTAGTACCAAAAGAATGCCTCTGAACTCAGAAACATGTCTGCACACATGGCAGTTAAGGTCAACCAATTAAATTATTTCAAGAGTCAAAGGAATTAATCTGCCGATGGAATTCAAAGTTGCATGGAGATCTTTAACTTTTTTTCTCTTTGTACAAAAAAAAAATATTGGCAAAGTTAAAAGCTAGAATTGCTAAGCAGATCCATCACACTCAGATTCTGACCAGAGTATATCTGGCATTGGTGGCCAATCTTGGGAGATAGAAAACTAGGCAAAAGGGATTCTTGCCTCATGGGTCATTACTTCTTCTGGGCACTAAAGAACAACTAGGAAGACTCTTGCTCACCTCATCACATCCAGCACAGCGAGGTTTTTCACTGTCACAGTAGTGTCGGCCACAATAGAGTTTCCCATTTTTCCAGAAATAGATCATATCTACCAGGAGTTCACTGCAGGTGCAGCAGACAAAGCAAGCAGGATGCCAGAGTTTGTCATATCCAGCCCGCTCAGCATACACAGCTGGATCACCTTCTTTCATATTTTGATTGCACCAGAAACAGAACTGCAAAGAAACCACAAAAATCACACTGGAGCCTGCTTAACTGGGGAACTGAACTATTATTTATTTATTCATTTAATCATACTTGTAGGCAATCCATTCAGAACAGCTCTGGATGGTAAGTAGATTAAAAGCATAAAAGGTCAGTACAACACACAAAACGTGAAAAGGAAAAGATGTTCGAATTGGGAGATAATAGATACAGTAACAGCTAAATAAACTATGGAGTTCTTGGTTCTCTCTGAGTTGGGTTGTTTTCTTGCAGATGTTTCATTAGCTGGCAAAGTAATATCTTCTGTGCTAGAAAAGAATGGGGTTTGGTCATATACAGTAGCTTGCCCTGTCAGAATTAGTAGGGAGTTCTTTTCTCCTTGGTAGTTCTTTGATTAGGCTATTGTTTACTGCTTGATTGCTTGTCTGAGTTGATAGTTTCTTGATTAAGGTATTGCTTACTGCTTCTTTGTCTGGTTTTAATCCTGGTGTAAATACCTGCCTATCTGGGTTTTAATTGCTGGTCTTTTTTGTCCCTTTTTTAGCTTTTGTCATTTTTAGTCTCTTGAGTCTCTTTTAGACTTTTTAAATTCCTTTTGAATGATGTATAAATGTGATTTCATGTGCCTGTTGATGGATTATTTGTCTGAGGGCCAAGCTTCCAAGAATTCCCTAGTATTTTAAGATTTAGTTTGGTACAGAATCTCAGAGTTTTCCAGTTGAAACTATGCTTGAGATTGTGCATGTGTTGTGAAATTAAGGAGTTTTCATCGTGTTTTCTGGCTGCTTAGTGTTCATGGATGCACTCTTATGCTTGTCTGTCCTACATAGTGGCTGTTATAGAGTCTTTACACTGTATGTTGTAGATGATTCCTGTTTTTTTCTTCTTGAACTACTGGGTCTTTTGGTATATGTTTATATAAGAGATTTGAAAATTTGCTAGTCTTAAATCAGCCTTAAAGGTGAATGGTTGGATATGTGATGAACCTTCAATTACTGAATAGTTCATGATTTAGCATGAGAAGGAAATTCTATGCTCCTCTTATGATCCAAATTCCAACCTCTAGCAGACCAAGGTATATTAGAAATTGTAGCTGAATATATGTGGAGTATTAGTTCCTGACCATTCCCCTTTTGCAGATTCCATTTATCAGATTAGATTAATGAAAAATGTGAGAAAGTCAACTATCATATCTCAGAGTTATTGTGGGAGCACAAAGTATTGGTAACAGGGTAATATTCCAGAATGCCCTAGAAGCAATACATGTAATCTACCGTATTTTTCGCTCTATAAGACACACTTTCCCCCACCCAAAAGATGGGGGAAAATGTCTGTGCGTCTTATGGAGCGAATGCCGCCTCCCACCGCGTCGCTCCGCGTCCCGCGCCTTCGTGTTTCAAGCCTCTGTGGCACAGAACTGCTGGCGTTATGCTTGGGTGGAAGACGTTTTCTTTTACAGATGGGGCAGGTGGGCCTGACATTCGTGTGCAGGCAGGACCCCGCCTGCCGAGCCACCGCTTCCCCATCGCCCTCCACGCCAGCCGTCTCCGTCTCCAGACCTCCCAGCTGATGGGCGCAGGTCCGGGGCTCGCCAGCTG